CACACCACCAATGAAGGTGGGTTCATCACTGAATGTTAATTGCGTATCACTGTTATTCCATGATTAACTCCGGTTTTTTCTCTACGTAATCTCTTGAGTAATCAAATTTCAGGATGGGAAAATCAATATGAATTTCTTCGCTCCGGATTGCTTCCACTTTTCTCAGTGGGGTCATGGTATCGTTTCGACTTGGTTGTGGAAGAACATTCTTGAACCTGCTAATAAGAAGACCACCAAAGGAGATCTCACCAATCCTGCAATACCACTTGCATGTCCTGATCCGGTAAGTACATAGTCTTTTATAAATAGCCGTAGTACACAGTGGGGTCAAAAAGATACCCTGGGATGACCAACCCTTTGCAGCATGAAAGCATAAATACAAAGCAGCAGTCACATATTCTGGCTAGTGGGCCCTAATAGATAAGTCGAGGCGCCAACAAAGCTAATGACGAGAAAAAAAAAACGAAAAAAGCCTTCCCAGAATAACCTCGCACTCGATCGCATGCGCTCCTCTATGCGGTTCGCATACCCTAACGATTAAACTCAGGATAGTCCTTTCCTAGAAGCTTGGGAGTCTGTCAACCAAAACCGGTCCCAGGGCCCCCCTGGAAATTGAAGGGTATCCACCATCAGCGCAACAGATTCCAGAAACCTACCCAAAAGGGGTTAACCCTAAAATTTGCGAAATTGCCCCAAAATGAAGCAAATACGGGAGATGGGCAAAACAACCTTTGTTTGTCGCACAGTCGCGCGGCATATAGTGCAGCGTTGCGCGGCGAATTTACACGGGGAACCATCGAAACTGATGAGAATTCAAGCGGACACAGGGCCTCACGATGGGCGGTATCAAATTTTTTAGTCTCTTCAGCGCTCAGATTCGTGGATGCACAACTCGTCTGTCGGACGCGGCGTCGCTTGCCACACCCCCAGTGAGGTCTCTCATATTACGATTGTCTTCTCACATACCTACTGTAAGTCTTCTTGAGCTCGAGGGCGTTAGCGGATTGCTATACCTTCCCGTGTCTGTGGGATAGCTTTTAAGAGCTCACTCTCCTTTATTAATAAACATCTTGCCTGAGTTATATTTAACTTTGGCTCTGGGCGTTATCACCTGCTTGCGTAGACTTCGATAATGCGCTCCATGGACGAAGTGTCTATCTCCTGCTATCCTGTAGGATTCTGTGGATATCCTGTAGGATTCTGTGGATGGGATATAGTCTTGTGGAAACTCTACTTCTTATAGTCGCATACAGCTGCGTCACACTTAAGCATTATTTATTTTTAGAAATGTCCTTTCATTCGAACAAACCTCAACAGCAAGGACTGCAGCAAGTATATGACCCCGACCAAGTAGTTCTTCAACTTCATCGTGATAAACTTTTAGTTGTAATTATCAGTAAGTGGTTATATAAAGTATCACTCTCATTGTCTTACAGAAAAAAAATGATGTTTACATTCATACATATGTACACTAATGGTAGGGCGCCGCAGTATACAGCACGCATCCACCTCAACGTCAGAGGAAAGGTCCAGGGCGTGAAACAGTCAAGACCAGTTATAGGCAAGAGTAGCCTCAATGGGCGTGAAACAATCAAGACCAGTAGAATGGCCTCAATGTGAGACGAACTAGAACCCGATCAGCTAGGAAGTCCACGATTGGCCTATCTAACCAAGGGAGTTCTTATTTGATACAGACACTTCGTGCTTCGTGAATGCTCCAAAAAGTGGTACCACTTTGTAGCGTATTATATCGTTCGTATCAATCCCCATGGATTTGCAAAATGCCCCTCCCCCACATTTGAAGAAAATGGCTTCCAGAGCGTGCACATTCAAAAGTGTGGTCTACCTCTAGAACACAGGTCAAGTTCATTAATAAGTAATTAGATATAGACTCGCTTGGCTTCGTAGAACTTTTCCTTTTGAACACGTATATATAACCGAATCCCTGAGATGGGGTAGGCGTGGCTAAGTCCTTCATTTGAAAGTAGCAGTCGCTGTGCATTGGTGAGATATTTTCATTTTGGAACAATTGTAACCGTAGTCGTAGTCCAACAAGACAATCCGGCAGTGTTCTCGAAATGAAATATTACGCGAATAAGAATCCTATGCCACGTACAGATGAAGCCCGCAGTCACGCCTACCACATTTAGAGGTTGTACAGTGTACAAGTAATCATCCATGATTCCTTGCCTTTTTAGCGGAATCTGAAGGTTTGCGGAAAAAGTGAAAAATGCTGGATACTCTGCGGCAACAAAAACCCAAGCTATGTCCTTCAACCTGTCTTTGGTCTCTCACGAACGCCCATAGCGCCATACAACCACCAACCTAGAACGTTGGGCTCGATAGACATACCTCTTCTTCCAGTTTGCTGGCTACTATATGAGCAATCCACAGTAAGTTGCGGAACGTAGGCAAGACTGTTGTAGCGCCCATTCACATCAACTAGCGAAAACAAATGTTCGGCGCTGTTCGGCGACGGGAGTGGGCATTTTGTACCTTCACTAGTTCCGGTTCACAAGTTCCACTCTGGTGAAACCTGTGAACTCTTGTGAAGCTGGAGCAAGCTCGTCTAGCCACCATGGTAAAACCCGTCAACTCTTGTCTTGCTCATGAAAGAGCTCTCTAGATGGCTCGGAGTGCAAAATGCCCCCCCCGTCGCCGAACTGCGCCCATAATATTCTATTTACACAACTCGGGAGTAACGACTAGGGCTATGAAAGGTATACTTAGAAACTCTAAGACGTTTCTAAACACTGCCCCTTGGTACCTTCGAGTTCTTCAGAAGATTTTTCAGTATGGTTACCGCACTAACTCGATAAGCGGGAGATACGGGTTCGAGTCCCCTTCTGGGGTCTCACTTTTGCCTATGACTCAGTATTCATGTGATAACTCTTCAGAAAATCATAAGTCTCAGCTGGCGTCTGCTTGCTTACTGACGATACTCCCCAACCCAGTGCTTTCTGGCAGCAGTTGCTCTAGTAGTTGAGGCCTCACTTGAGAGGGGAAGAAATAAAAAGTTCTGATAACCTCGGAATGACAATCAGTGATTACTTCGAGTCACCAGTTCCTGCTCTATGCCAAAAGCGCCAGTAATTTGTCAAGAAGGTGGGAAAGGTTATTGGTCACTCCAATTAATGTAACTTGAATATCCAGAATTTTGCAAAAAGCTGCCATAATTGGGGGAGCTCCAATTTTGTTCAGCAACCTTCCTGTTAACCCATTACTATTACTGAGATGTCGCTTCAGACCGAGGAGGACTGATGTCACATTGAGTCCTTGTTGTTCCTTAAATAGATCGCAGCAATCACCTCAAAATAGCGCCCGGGTGCGTCAATGCAAGCTGTTGTTCCTAGTTTGCTGGGCGAATACGTCACTTTGGGACTATTGACGCAATAGGACTGGCGAAGAGGAACGGACTTATTTGAAGCAGATCACTCAACCGATTATCAACAATTACTTACTAGTTAACCGTGCCACTGAAAGCAAATCTGAACGGCATGCGTCATAATCCTCGGACTTCACGCACCTTTAAGCTCATTGAAATAGTTTCAATTGTGTCTAGTCGCTGCCTGTAGTTTCTAATTGGAATGCTTACTGAGGTCAGCGGCTTTAAGTAGACGGTAGGGCAGCATGGCAAACATGAGCTTTTTTTTCTTCCCAATAATAAAAATATAACGCTACAACAGCACATATTCGTTGGCCAAGGGTGGTGCTCAAATTTCATGCTGAAGTGTTTTCACGAAAGAATGCCTGTCGCAAGTGTTTTTTTGAAGTTTTTTTTTAACCTTGAAACGTAAAAAACAACCTAAAAGCGTTTAGCCACAACAATGTGCGCACTGGGCTCGACCTGCACACGCGACAACTTCGTGCAATCAGGGCAGTGTAATCTCTGAGCTATGTCATCATTACGTACATGTATAGTGGGCTGGGTTTGGCGCAGCGCCAGCCCGTTTTCCACAGTTGTTGTCGCTTGCTCGCTTCAACGATTGGTTGAGAATGGGCTGGACCACGCCAGACCCAGCCCCTTTAACACGCCCCAGCGTCTGCTGCAGAAACTGTTGTGGGCTTCCACCACTTTCCGTGATCACAGATGTACATAAAGGGATCCGTACAAAAATATAGAAGAGCTATTTTGAAGAAAAACAAGTGGTCAAAAATACAAAAATAAGGCCATTATAATTTTGAGCAGTAGACGAGTATGCAAAAAAGAGAGACAGCGCATGCTGGAGAGAGGGAACAGGCAAAGAAACACGGAAGAGCACACACCACGAAGTCGCACGTAGGTGCACAATACGTAGACATGCGAATGTTTGCAGTCCGCTCCCTTGCACAAACACTCCTTAAGCCCTCAGCCGCAACGGTTGATGCAAAAAGACTGGCGCCGTGCCAGAACTCGCACGGCGCTGACACACCCCGACCAGCTCCTGTGGTATGACTTCATCTTCGCGGATGATTCGACTTCGTCGCATTTTTCGAGCTGCAGGTTTAATCTATAAGAGAACAGTGGAAAAGGTTCTTTGCAAAATCTGTTCGTTTTTGCTAAAACTCCGAAAACTGCTGACCCGAAAGCTATCAAAACCAATGGGTGTGTAGCGTAATGACGTACACAGAGCCACACCTTCGTTCCAGAATTTCACCCTACGGCTCTTCAGTTACACTTCCATTGTGAAATGTCCTCCCAGTGACGTCACTGGATCGTCATGAAAGGAGGGTTGACCGAAATATGCTGCATAACAAGGGAGTCCAGTGGTCGATGAACATAGATGACGACTTTGTTTTCCTCTCTGCAAATGCAAGCCCCGGATGTTTATCAGGCGCCAAATAAAAGCTGTAGGTAATTTCACTGTTGAAAAAATTCAGTCGTAGCCACGGGACAACTCGAGGCACTCGGCGCCTATCAATATGGCAGACACGCCACGCATTTGACCTGTGTATCGAAGTCGCATTTGATTGAGTCACTCACAGCTA